CCTCCTCCGGCCAGCCCTGCCCCCCCCGCCCCCCCACCTCATGTCTGCAGAGGGGCTCAGGCCACGGGTGTTGAACCTGGGCACCCACCTTGGAGCTGTCCCTGCACAGGACCCTAAAAACCAGCAACTCCCACCAGTGCTCCATGGGGACGGCAGGATTTCTCCAGAACTCCCCTGAAAACTCCCAAATTTCATCTCCAATTTCTAGCCTCTTCCCCCCAGATCCTCCTCCCCTCCTCGCTTCTTTTTTTTTCCCCTTTGCAGTATCCCTCAGCTCAAACGCTTCCCAGGCTGTTTGCAAACATCCCTTTAGGAGGAGGTTTCCTCAGGAAGCGCAGGATTTGTGTTTAAAAACAATCCTCCCAAATATTTCCCTTTGGAGAAATACACAAGAAAGCAGCGAGGCAGCGAGCGGTGGGTTTGACCCTGACGTGGCTGGAGGAGTCTGGGGTGGGCAGAGGTGCCCCCCCCCGTCGAGGGACGTGAGCTCCAGGCACGGCATCGTCCCTGTGCTTCCAGTTCAGCGCGTGAGCGTTCGCAGAGCCGGCGTGAGTCACGGTCCGGGGAAGTGTAACCGGCGTCGTGTCCTTCAGCGCTTCCCTTTGCTCGATCGCGACGTGACGAGCAATAAAAGTTGATTATTAATAAGCTGCTTGGATCCGGCCCGCGGCAGCTGCGACGTTGCTGGGAAGAGATAAGAAAACTGCAGAGGCAGTGGGAAAAGATGCCGGGAAGGGGCCCCGCGTGTTGTTGGTGGAGGTCATCAGGACCCCTCCCATCCCCAGAATCGCTCTGGGACGAGCCAGGGTCCCATTTCACAGAGCAGCAGACTGAGGCTCAGAGGAATGGGAGGGTCCTGCTCTCGCAGCTCCACGTCAGGAGTAAAACCCAGACAGGATTTCAGTGCTTGGGATTTTGGGTCTCAGGCTTTGGGGTCTCCCCACGGGGCTCTGGGAGGAGGCATAGCTTGGAGGCTAGAGCAGCTGGTGGGGGTCGGCCCCCCCCAAGGGACCAACCAGTTCTGGGGACCATTGGGGAAAGGCGGTCCTGCTCCCCAGCAGCATTTGGGCACGAGGGAGAGGGACGGGCAGGAAATTCCCAATCTGTTCAGCTCCCATTCTTGCCTCCCCTTTTGTTTCACTCACCATCTGTCCCACAGCCCCGCATGCCCCGCACTCCTGCTGCACGTGCCATAAATATCAAGACG